TTGCTGGTTTTTCTGAATTCCTGTCAGGTTGTTTGTGCTGACGTGCTGCGTTTGATTTTAGACAAAATGCTGCGCATTATCTGGTCTTCTTTGTTCCGAAGATGTTGTTCCAAACGTTTTTTTGATTTCTTTGAATGTAACTTTGTAAATCTAAAAGAGGGTATGCTTTTCTCAAGTATTTTGTGTGTTTGTGTGAGTTTTTTTTTTTACTGTGATGTACTTTACCATTCATCAAACTATGTGAAAACTGCAGAGTTTAAGATGAGTCTCTTAAACATTTAGCCTTTTCTTTGAGCACTACACAGTCTGACCTGGAGCTCAGTTGATGTTTCAGTGCTGGGGGTGAACACATCTAAACTTTAGAAGCTTGATCTTGAATGTTTTCTGCTTCGGAATAATCTCTCTCAAGTGCCTGCAGTTGATTTATTTTTTTACCCATTTTCACAAGGTTTTTTGCAAAGTAAATAATGACAGGTCATGTGTAGTTCACCCTCTCATGTTTTATGCTGCCTTCTTTTTATTCTAGTAACAACCAGGTAATTTTTTTATTGTGTTATAATGTAAAATGTAAAAAAAAAGGACTGCCTACCTTGACTTTTATGTAATTTATTTGAAAAATAATTTCTATGGTTTAATGCCAACCTTCTTTCCTCTCCATGTATATAATTATATGGAGAGAGTGTTATCTCTCAAATTGCATTAATTTTGTCTGCAGGTAGCAGCACAAGAAGAGAAGCACTTAATGTTACTGTTTGATTTTTGTCGCTTTTGTTTTGTTTACATAAACTGAATGAAACCCAGTTTTGATTAGTGGTTTTATTCATCTTTTATTTTTTGTGCTAACGTGCTTAGAAATTCTGTTTGCTTTTGTCCAATTCAGTCAAAGTTGCAGCAAAAGATAACCAAACTGGCCCAAACTGACAACGACACACTGCTGTATGCTGCTGACAGGATTGGTTATGTTTATGTTTACGACATGAAGAAGTTTGACCCGGAGCAAAGATCACCCAGAGGTTAGCTTCGGTTCTTTTATTCACCCCTCTTTTCCTTCAGATTGGACCTGCTGTGAAACTAAGAAGATGTAGTTTCTTTCTCACCTTCTTCTTTCTCACAATGACTCAGTGGAACACTCCTGGCGTGCCCACACCAGCACAATTACCAGGTATGTGAAATACAAAGTGCACCCCATTAGGAATCACAAATTTATCTGATCAAACTAACTATCATCAAGTGGCTGTAAGCCAATAGCAGTCTGACTTTTCATCTCCTCTGTGTTTGGCTATTTCTGTTCTTGAAATTTGCTCATCCTTAATGAATCCAATCATCCTTGGTGTGAGGGGAGAGCAGCAGCGTAGCTTTGCTCTGCAGCTGCACACAGAGTGCAGAGAAGTGTGTGGGAAGGATTTCAACAAACTGAATGAGACGCTGCCTTTAACATGGGAACTGGAGCCCGTAGAGTTTGAAATAAAGCTCTTGTGTTTTCATATTTTTGCTCCCCCTCTACATGTCGCACAGTCTGACCTTGGGCTGAACTTGTTGTGATGATTAAAAGTCTGCTGGTAGAAAATACCCTCTGCTTTTTTTTATCGCATATCATTCTCTCTCCTTTCCCCCCGACATTTTCTTCTGATCCAGCCTGCAGATTGTTGACGTTGATCAAGTGGTGCTCACTTCATCCACAGACCAAACTGTGCGCCTTTGGAGTGCACGAGGACAATACATCGGTAGGCATCATTGTTTGAGCTCAAGTCCCTCATTCTAGACCAGGGATGTCCAATCTTGGTCCTCGAGGGTCTCTATCCTACATGTTTTACTTGTTTCCCTGCTCCAACACACCTGATTCAGTGATTAAATTACCTTTTCAAGTTCCATAGAATCATGTTAATCCAACATCCATTCAAATCAGGTGTTGGAGCAGATAAACCATTGGGACACCCCTGATCTGATGTTAACTAACTGATAACCCTTTAGTTCAGTCAAAACAATAGGAGGAATTGACCTTGTCCATGTGATATTGATTTTTTTTATTTTATTTTTATCTTCAAACTGTTTCACCAGAAATAAATAGCCACATGGTGGAACAACTTCATGTCAAAATGGAAAAACAACAAATAAATCCGCATCCTGGCTTTGTCACATAAAAAAAAAGTGCTAACCTTTGTGTCAAGTCTGAATTCCGCACCACACAAATACTGTACATTTGGTGTCAAAATAATGAGAAAAAAAACGAGCAAAGCTCTTCGCTCTAGCGAAGTTGGGTTGGAGGTGGGGTGGGGGGTGTCCTCACAAAAGGCTAGTTGAAAGATAACCCTCAGACTGTGAGTCACAGATGTGTTAGAAAACAAATTCATCCACCTGCAGACAAAACAAGACTGACTGCCACGAACGGTGCGATCCCACTCTGAGTTGTTTGCCTGCTAAACACTGCGGTGATTTTTTTTTCACTATAACTTGTCAGAAAGCCAATGTATTATATTTCAGTGTGGATAAATATGAATTTTGATGTAAAACAAATTGTGTTACATTTTTCTGATTTATCCTCTAAGCCAGAGACATTTAGAACAAATTAAATTCAGTGGATTTAAACATATCTATCAAATAAATAGCAAGTTTCTCTAAAAAAAAGATTCATTAATTTTTTTGTTTATGGTTTTTATATGCAGAAATATATCATTTTAAGAAACCACAGTTTTAGTGTCACATTTTTTCAGCCCCATTAAACAGAACTTAATAAGGAGAAAAGACATTAAAATGATTGTCTTTGTCCACAGGGACGTTTGGGCAGCCTCAGCCGTGGAATATCCACATCCCCTCGTCCTGGATACACCCTGGTGTGCCTTATGAGATTCTGATTGATCCTTTTAGTATGCCAGCTCATGAGTTTCTGAATGGAAAATCGCATCTTTCAGAAGCCATCAAATGTGACACGAGTGAGGCTGATGGAGGGGAACTAAAGGTGAGCTGCATTATTTCAGAAGCGATTACATGAGATGGTTCTTCTTTCTGTCTCTGCTTCCTAGTAAAATGAACCAAAGTTCCTTTGAATTCCTACAGTGACACTAACAATGAGAAAGATTTAGAGGCTCATTTTACCCAGAAGAATGCGAGTCGGCGCTGGATTATAATCATTTTTACTGCACAGACTGCTGCACATGTGCTGTCAGTCTAATACCTGAATTATTTTTTAAAAAGGGGACATATTGATATTTAATGACTGCCTTTTTCTGCATTTCAGACTCTGGAATGAAATTGCCTGGCACACTAACATGAGATTGAACCACTGCACCCTGAAAGGCTTTGATACTGAGGAGCTACAGAACCTCAGTGAATCACCTAAACTCTGGTATTGATCCTTTCAGAAGCCCCACCGGGGAACTGGAGTCAACTGAATAACATAAAACTGTATTGATCAAATCGGAGAAAATGGGTCATTGCGATGCGACTGCTACCATATAACGTATAGAAATTACAATTGAACAAAATATTAAATATAATTGGGCCTACATGCAGTCATACACGTGTGCAGATTCTAAAAGGCTAAATGAGACTGGATATATTCTAGACACGACAGATAGATTGAGGTAACTCTGTGACCCAGACATGTTGGTTTTATAATTGGTGCTCACGTCTGAGTACAACTTTCCAATTAGTGACAATTCAAGATGTTTTTTTTAATAATATTTGGTTTAATAGGACATCACTTGTTTTGTGCATCATAGACATGTTCTACATAAAACTATGGGCCAGATTTTCATGTCTTACTTTTATATTTTTTAAAAAAACTTTTCTGAATCTATGTTTTTTTTTTTTTGGTTACTTTCCACACCCAACTACACTTGTTCCCTGTTCCATCAGTCACAACTGCTCTTGTGCCTTCTCCCTAATACCTGTAGGTTTGCTGCCATGGCATAGTTTTATTTAAAAATTTTTATGAAAGTTTTTTTATTTTTATTTTCTCAAGCTCCTCGTGTGAGTCTGCATCTCTGTGTCAACCATAACCAAGAAAAAAAAGCGCTGCTATGACCTTTTTTAAAATACTTTTTATGAGACAAACCTGGTCTGTTAATTAAAAATCAAATAACCTAAGAAAACTTAATTTACTTTACTTAATTAAACTGAATTAACAGATTTTTTTTTCAAGTTTAAGATAATATGCATTTAATTTCTTTATTAGCCTGACAAATGTCTTATCTCATGACCTGTGCTGCACTTTGTCTTTAGTGTCACTTTGTAAATGTTTTGGAGTGTGCAGAAAATTAAAATAAATAACTGGATTAATATTTAAAGTATATTTTTATACTGCAAAAATAATAAATGTTGAACTGTCACCTTTGAAGTAGGCAGAAAATATTAGTTTTTGATGTTTGTGTAAAAAAAAAGAATGATTGCTCAAATTTGTAATCCTTCCACCAGTTAAAATTCAGACACTACAGTTTGTTTTAATCATTGTTTTTTCTGCAGTAAATTCTTTATGTATGGCATTGTGAAGGGCATCTTGCACACATTATGTTAATAAAAATAGACTGCATATTTCCACTTTTATCTGCCATTTAGACATAAATCATCATGTCATCAATTTCAACATGAAAGCACAAAATTGTGACTATTTCAGTGGCTCTATGATGGAAAAAAACACCAAAATTGGTTTGAGGGCCATCACATCCCAGATAGAAGTGATACAGATAGAAATATTACATGTCAGTGGTAAATATTACATTTCTAACGGTGCATGAAAGAAAACTGAATAGGTGTCATCCCGGCGCGAGCAAAATAAAGTTTGTTATTGAATGGAAACCGAGGGAGTGAAGTGTAGTGTATAGTGTGTGCACATAAGTGAATTTTGCACAGTCCATCAAGTAAATTGTCACCCTGGTATTTATTTTTTGCCCAGGCCCACCGCTCATAGAAACAATATCCATGGAGATCTTGAAACCTGCAATTCATCATCCCTTGCCCACCCACGCAAAGACACGGACACACACACACACACACACACACCTGAGCAGTGTTCTTATACTTTTGTTTTAAATGTATGGATTAAATTTGGATGAGTTTACAAGCGTAATTTAGATTTTTTTCTAATTACAATAACTGAAAGCATTTGCCTCATGTCCTAAAACTTAATAAGATATTGAGCTGCAGGAAAACGGCAATACACCGAAATATCTGGTAAATACCAGCACCTACAGGGAAAAGACAGAAAGGTCATCTTGAAATAAGTTGAAAGAAATATTCTGCCTTCCCCAGTTTTATGTGTCCTAAAGCTGTGTCATTAAAACGTGGTGTTATTTTCGTTATGTTAATATTTAAGCGTGGAAAAAAAGAAGTCCCTGTAAAACTAAAGTCCACACAGTGTCAGCCGTGATGAGCCACACAACCTGTTTCAGATGGTAACTTCAACTAAGTGCTGCCATAAATTGCCCCTTTCATCTTCTGTCACTGAAGACAGGAGGAAAAAAAACAGAATCACAGTATTGTTTTTTTCCTTTTCTTCCTGTGCTTGTAGTCACAAAGTTGTACAGATCTTTTCAAGTTTATCTCACCGAATGCTCCCTTCAAATGTTACAAATAATGTTTTCACGGACACACATGAAACAAAGAAATACGCAGCAGCGAAAAAAAACCTTATTGCCAAAACGTGGTTATTTTGCTATTTAAAAGCTAAATGAAGCCTGCGTCGCTTTGACACTTTGATGCATTCCCAAAGGATCATTACACTCAGTTTTATTACAAAGCCCAGAAAACATCTACAAAAAAATGTGTGTAATTTATAGCCGAGAAAGTCAGGAGAAAAACAACACATTTTTACTCTTGAATCCTTATGCCTTTGCAGGAAAGGCACTCACATCTCTAAGTACACACACAAACTGCGTGCAAAACACCTAAGAGCGAGTATAACTGTTACAATGGTTAATGAGCCTACTTTTTTACTCCAATCTGACCATGTAAAAAAACAGCTACTGTGCTCCCAGATCAGTTCATATGGTGTGTTACTTCATTGTGCAGTGGCAGCCACAGAAAGCTGGTGTTTGGGGAGAGTAGTAAAACACAATCAGTCCAATGGTGCAACATTCTTCTGGGAACAAAAAAATGGATAAATAACAGGCTCAGCTGTTAGCTTGTCAAACTTCCAGAACTCACATTTCTCAGAATCCCCAGATCCATAGGAATAGGAGCAAAGTGTTCCATTTGCAACTTTGAAAACCAGAAGGATTTACTATTAATTGTGCTCAGTGACCAGGCTAATTAGTTGCAAGCCAATAAAAATGGATTTTTGGGTTCTGTGCATTCAAACAAATGGCTACTAATTTCATTAATAGTGGCTGAAAAGTACACGTGTGAGTAAATTACTGATAACTGATATAGTGCAACAGAATAAAAAAATTTAAAAGGTGAAAGATAATTTTACTTGTCCAGCCCCTGAGCTGTTGACTTAAAGTAGCTGTGCCCCCCTGAGCAATTTAGTGCAATACCCTGTATAAATGTCTCAAAATAGGCCACTTTAAAGCCAACATGGACCATAAACCACAGCTCCCAAAATGCGTGTTGATTATTTTACCCACAAAATGATGGCATCCCACCACTAGGTGGAGGTTCACAGGATTGAAAAGTCACTATGTAAAATCTATAGTTAGGTTGCATTTTCGCCAGCTACTTCTGAAATTGTCCAGTACTGGGAAGTTTTAAATCTGACAATAATAGTAGTAGTTTAATATAAATTTTAGTGAAATCATCTTGAACCACACTCCATACCAAGAAGAAGAAGAAGTTGTTTTAAATTTGAACTGGAACATACATCCAGTGGGAATTTCCAAATTCAAGACACAGATAATCACCACAACTCATCAGTGAGTAAAATTCTCTCATTTTAACTTTTAATAATTTTTTTGTATTATTTATTTCACATTTATTCTGTTTTACACATGCTACTTTTCAGTGTTTATCAGAGGAAGTGTAAACACTGTTTCTATGCAGGATATACCACATAGAGCTTAGGTAAAGTTTGTTACCGGTGCTCAGTCATAGCAATGAAGGAACTTGACATTTTGTGTTTTGTCGAAGTTGAACACAAACCTCAAAGTTACAACTGGTCCATTGGTGGCCACCATGTGAAAACGAGTTTGACTCCCTTGAATAATTCAACATTGATTTGATTTGATTTGATTTATTGATTTAACAGGAAAAGATTACTAAAAATCAAGCCTGACTCAGCATAATTGCTGTTTTACAGCAGGTTCCTGTTCTGCAGCACATAAAACACTCAGAAATACAGCATCACAATCACATCATTATACACCATTGACACAACAAGCACACCAAATTTCAGGAAGGCAGCATTTGCAAAATAGGACGTCTAAATATGAGCACAACAAAAAATGTCCAGCAGATGGCAGACAAGATTCTTCTTAAAGGGCTGTAGTTTTGAAATGGACTTTATGTTTTGAGGAATGTCATTCCATGCTTTAGTATAAACATAGAAGAAAGACCTCTGGCCGTAACAGTTTTTAAAAGTTGGTAATATCAGTTGTCCTTTTGTAACAGATCTAGWTGAATGACCACTTCCAGAATTTGACTTGGGCAACACTGCACAGAGAGTTCCATAATTGGCGCCTTGGAAGGCACATGTGGCACAGGTACACTGGGCCTTATAAATAGACAAAATAAGAAAAAAAAAGTGTTCTGATTTATCATTATTTTCTTATTTATTCATATTACAATATTATTGATTTTTATGTCTAATACTAAACAGCTGTGCTTTTAATTTGAGCACCTGAAAGCAGCAGCAGGACGTGAGGGTTGTGGTTTTTTTTTTTTTTTTCTGGGATTTTCTCCATCTGCTCCTCCTGTCAGTAGAATCCTTCTCGCCAGCAGAGCGCGTGCCTGCTCCTCCTACAGAAAGTGGGGATTCCTGCTCCTCAGCAGAGCACAGACCCACTCCCCGTTTTTTTTTTTCTTTTTTTTCTTCTTTCTTCTGCTTTCCGCGAAACTGTCAGAAGGAACAACACCGTGTTTCTCCTGAAAACAGTGTCAGAAAGCCCATGCCCCGCCGAGCCTCCTCCACCTCCAGCCTCAGAAGCCCGGCAGGATGCTGTCAAACAGCCCGAACCTCGGACACAGAGGGGCAGCAGTCCGGCTGATGTTCCTCTCCCTCCGTAAGTGCTCACTTTTACTTTCTAATGTCCAGGTGGGGGTGATGGGGGGGGGGGGCGCTGCAGCTCTGGGGAGCGTGTTCGCGGGGGGTGTCAACAGTAAACAGTTTGTCTTGTTTTGAAAGGGGAAGCTTGTGTTTGTGGGTGGAAACGCAGCGGAGTGTTGTTTCCGTAAAACTGTGGCAGAAGTGCGGAGCCACCATGATCCGCTCCAACTTCCTGAGGAGTTTCCAGGCGGACCAATCACCGGGTGCTGAATTCTACATTTGATCATAGAGGTGGGGAGAAAAAGCTGGAGCGCTTTAAATCCTTGTTTTTATTATTATTATTATTCCGTCGCTTCTCTCCGCGATAAGCCTCGTTGCTTCTCCCTGACACATCAGTGCTGCGCTGGCAGGAGTCAACCCATCCACCCACCCCAGGGTCAGTGTCCCCCTCCCGGGGGCTGCCTTCCTCCCCACAAGCCTCCACGTTTCCTTTGTCAGTCCAGATGTGCTCCTGGAGTTCTGTCAGCTAAAGTCAGACATTAAACGTCTCTTATTCTTTCATGCTGTAAGAGTGAAAACAATCAGTCGTTGGTATTTAAAGGTAGTCGTGCATCACATTAAAACAGGCTTGTTTTGAAGTGCAAATGGTGCAGTTTGAAAGAGTTTACTCTGGTAGTTTTCTACATATATTGAATGTACAATACTGAAATGTGGGTATGCATTCAGTGTAAACAAAATTGTCGAAAACAGCACAAACGCTTGAGTGGCCTGCATCAGCCTGGTCCGTCTGTTTTAAACAATATGAATCTGATGTGTGTAGTAAGATGTTCCGGTGAAAATATAAAAGTTTTTGCTGCGAAACGTGAATAAAAAAAAAGTATAACTAAGACTGAATACATATCAGAGTAAAAGCAGAGAGCTTTGCGGAAAAGCTCTCTGCTTTTTGCTTATGTTCAAAGTGGAAAGTTTTTACAATAGTGGTGTGTGAAAACACACCACTATTGTAAAAACTTGACTTAGAGCCGTAGTGTTTCGACTTTCTGTTTTGATTTTTACTTTTAACGTTTGAGATGTTTACCTTGAATTACAGTTCATCCCCAGTCCACAATGTGCAGAGGTAGTTTTATGCCAAATGGGAGAAAAAAAGTGAAGCACATCTTTTCAAAATGTTCCACTTTTGTCTCTTCAGTCCAAAGAATCATTTCCCAGAAGTCTTCGGGATTTTCAAGATGTTTTTGTGGCAACATTGATGGGCCTTTGTGTTCTTTTTGGTCAGCTATGATTTTGGCCTTGGAGCTCTCCCATTTCTTATTTTTATTTATTTAATTTTGGCCTTTTTTTTTAAAATTCGCATTGTTAAATTATGAACACCTGACCTTAACTGAACCAGGTGAGGCTTAGATGGTCTGGTTACTTTGAGGAAAAAATCTTTGATGCACTTTTAGAGTTAGGCTGACCACTTTACATTTGGTTTATGGTTTAATGGGGGCAGGGAGGCACATTTGTTTTTAACATTAGCCTGGTTTGGATAGAATGGAATAGAATAAAAGCATCATTTAAAAAAAACTGCATGTCAAATTTACTCAAGTTGTATTTATCTGATGTATTTGATGATTTAAAACATTTAAGTATGGCAAAAAGCCAAAAATAGAATAAATGTTGAAGAGGACAAAATCTTTTTCACAGCACTATATAGGTGTGTTTGCCAATTAAAATTCCTCCACAATGCACGACCTCGCATACACACACACACATGCACACTAAACAGAGTGGGGTGAGTGATGAGCCCAGTCTATTTGCAGAGAGGTCAGCACACAATGTGCAGCTGCAGTTTCGGAGCGGTTTGAACTGTGTGACCAGTATTTTTCATCTGCCCAGTGCACCATGTGGAGGTCCATTTGAGCAGAATGAGATTAAAGCCGAGCACAGGAGACTCTGTCTTTCCTACTGAGAATTGTCATGATGTCAGAAAAGAAACGGGAGCAACGTATCTGAAGCAGAAGTTAGAGAAAATGAACTGCTGTGGATAAAAAGCTTCATCTCAATGACGCAGCAAAAATATAGATTCCTTGATTTATTTATAGGAAGAGGTGATTTCTAATCTTCACTTAGTCACAGTTACATTTTGTCTTGCTTTATGCTGCCATTTATGCCACAAAAGATCATCTTGCCATACAATACAGCTGTTCTGGTCAAATCTTACAAACAAACTTATTCACAGTCTCATGCAATATTGAGCTATTCATATGAGGAGTGGGGCTGGGCAGTATTGGCAAAAAAATTAATCACGATTAATTGTTGTAGTCAATAACAAATAATATGACGATTAATCCCCTGAAGTCCCTGGACGCCTGCATGTCCTAGTCACATGATCATTTTACATCACTCTAGTTGGGAAGATTTGCTCTCTGTAAAAATCTGTTTCAAATTGTGTCAAAAGTAAAGATTTCAGGCTTTACATCATTTTTTTAAAGTGTGCTGATAGAACAAGTAAAACCGGAGTTATGATTAATAAATTATAGAAATTTCTTTTTAAATGTTTGTCATATTTGAAGTGAAGAGGAGCGTCCAGCGGACTGACCGGGGGAATCTCCAGTCAGTCTGCCTGGCAGCATTAATCGTATTAATCGTCTAGTGCCGAAAAATAATCAAAGTTTTTCTGATTAGTTATTGCACATGATACGATTTTGCCCAACTCTACTTATAATGATACAGCCTTCATGTTCAAATCTTAAAAATGAAATTATTTACAGTTTCATGCAATATTGACCTATTCGTATGAGGAGATCTTGCAAGATCTATTATTTCTTAAAGTATTGGTGCATTCCAGTTAGCACTGGGATGTGGACATTTCCTTGCTCCCGCTTGTAAATTTAAACTGGAACGCCCTCCTGGTAAATCCCACTGGTATACTTTGAGCGACTGTTACTAACCCCAGTTTGGATTTCAAGATGGCGGCTACTCGCAGCTTTACAAAGTTAACTCCGTAACTTTTACTGTTAATTATCGTTCTTTGTGTTTTTGTGCCTGTTTAATCATTCGTACAAGTAGTGCGTTTTTTGTGCGTACTGTACTTAATAAAATCAATGTTTATTTGCACGATGTAAGTAGTAGAGCTCTCTTTTTGTTATTGTTTATGTTAGAACAGTGTTGTCACTAGCAGTACAATCGCCTGTCGGCTAACTGGAAAACGGTTTGTTGGGAAATGATGTCACAACCACCTCCCAGTTCCAGAATAATGTAAATTCTTGTTGTGTTAGATTTTATGTAGTTTTTAAAAAGAGATTAATATAAATAAAACAATGAATGAATGAATGAAACACACCATACAGTATGTGTTAATGATGATTATCAGTTTGCTTTAGCTCAGTATCAGTATTGGCTAAGTTAAAGCCATTTTAGTGTTGACTAATGTTGCTAAGCTGCATCTTAAATTGGACGGAGTTCAAAAGGTAAATATGTAGATATACAGCTAATGATTGCTTTCTGCAAGTTTCATAAAAGCCTGTCCAGATGATGATGATATATGTGTTAAAAAGGACACAAACAAATGAACATACAGACACGTCAAAGAAGTGATTGTTCTTTTGCTATACAGACAATATTAAAAGTTTGTTGTCTTCTTCCGTTTGCTGGAAACCTAAGAAATTATTTAATAAATCATTCATGATTAGTTTTGTGGCCACTGGTCTGTAACCGTCTCCTTCATTGTAGACGAGTGGGTGAAAAATGTATTTTTGTATCTAAAACAACAACAAAGCCTGTTCTTCTGAGCAACTTTAAAAAACGACTTTTTTGAGCATCATGTGCAGCCTTGTGCTTCGCTACAATCAACTGCGTGCACAAACAGAAGCTGTGTTTGCATATTTGGCACCGAGTCCAGGATGTTTGGCCGGACATCACAGTCTGACAAAGCTTCGCCTGCTCCTCCAGAGTTTAATATTCATCATGGCCCTAAAATCTCAGCACAGTCGAGGTTCGGAGAGCAGCTTGCTTGGTGACACGGGGTGCCACGTCTGCTGCTTTCCTCTGATGTTGTCCGTGAGGTTTCCACCCACTGTCATTTCTGATGTGCACTGGAGCGGTTTGCAGCTGAGTGTGACTCAGTGGGGATGAGGAGATGCACCTCCAGATTTCAGGCCACAGCTCGGTTTTTTTTTCTGAGTTTGCATGAAGCACATTTCAGTTGTGACACCTGTGGTAGCACTCTGCAACATTTGCATTTATTTTTGTTGACTCGGGGAGGAAACAAGATGGTTGTGTTGTAAACAAAGTGTGAATTCAAACTGTTTTTTTCTTTCAAGAAGTTTTAGCTACTGATTTTTATATGACCGTGATTAAACTCTTAAGCATTGCATTGATGCCTTTGTTTTTAAAGGTCAAATGAGATTAAATATTAAAATGATTTAAATAAATATAATACAAATGAATAAAGTTTTTATGTCTTTTAGTTGGACATATTCCAGTGGCTCATTTTGATTTGTAACTTTAATGGCTTGTTTTTAGTAGTGGTGTAAATCAATAATACCATATTAAATCTATTTGTTTGACACTGCAGTGTTTCTCGATTTCACAAAGTCTTTCACTATATGATTTCAATTCAATTCACTAGTCTGCAATTATGATGCAATATCATGCAATTATAACAATCATTTGTGTTATTGAGCATGTTAACAATCCACAATAGTTACTTGATGAAGATAAGGATAGATGTTTTTAATTTGCCCTGATGTAACTGAACTGATACACAGCGGGTAAAATAAGTATTGAACACGTCAACATTTTTCTCAGTAAATATATTACTATAGGTGCTAATGACATGAAATTTTCACCAGATGTTGGTAACAACTCAAGTGATCCATTCATACAAAGAAATCAAACATAAATGTCCAGAAATGAAGTTATTTGTAATAATGTGGAATGGCACAGGGAAAAAGTATTGAACACRCTTACTGAAATTTATCTAATACTTTGTACAAAAGCCTTTGTTGTCAATGACAGCTTCAAGACGCCTCC